CTGACAATTCTTTACTGTGGCAAGGATTGAGTCATGTGCAGCACTAGTAATATTGGTAGTAGCACTTCTTCTTTAGAGTAATGGATCTCAGTCTTTTCTGTTCTGCGTCCCACCTATCAGTCCATGAATGAGTTTGGATCTCACTAGAAATCCAAAAGCATAATAAAAACAAAGAAATGACTAAAGGTTGGCCTACTAATAGGCAGCTTCATGATTTGCTTCATTAATAGCTTGGTCTAAACAAGGATGGTAATAAAATTAATCACTACATTTAATCCACTGGTGCCAATGCAATGAAATCTTTCCAATGATATAGTTCTCAATTTATGCCTTAACAGGCCTCTGTAGGTGTACCTCAGAAGATGTCATTAAGAGGATAACATTAAGTTGTATTGTGTCAACCAGTCTGACAATTCAGCAGATGGATTCTAAGGATATATTTGGATGCATGTGAATACTGCCTACCTAAATTGCTTTTTTCAGAGACTCAACAAATACCAATGAATTAGTCTACATGGGGTAGCATCATTTTTAAGTGATGCCAAACACCAAAAACAGCCTTTCCTCAATTTGGTGCTGTCCAAATGATTGAGTACATCCTCCACAATTTCAAGTTAGCATGCTCTTTGATTTGCTATCCCCCAGACACTTAACACATTAAGAGGGAATTATGGGAGTTCTAATCTAAGATCTGGAGGGCACTGAGTTGAGGAACAGCATCTCTGCATTAGGTGACAGTTCAAGGTCTCATATTTTTATGAGGCTAGGCACCTAGCTGAATTAGCTAGGCAAGGTTAGTGCCATGTCTTTACCAATTGCCCTTAAGTTGGGCAGAATTAGCCTCTCTACACAATGATATTAACTTGTGTTTAAAAGAAAATCTGCCTTTCTAAGCTTACAGTCTGGCTCTGAAAGGCAGTAAAAGTTAAGCTTCTGTATCATTTTTTATTAAATTCCTAAGTGATTTAATAGAGAATTTTAAAAACCATATTAAGGTCTTAAAGCTTGCAGGTGTCAGAGATTTAACAATCCTGATCCTCCAAGCTGCCACTAAAGGGAGGCCAAGAGTTATATTTCTAGCACGTGGTACATTCTCCCATGAATAGCATGAAAGGAAGGCACAGTGGGCATTGTATATAGAAAATCTTCTATGTCCCACATGGGGAGAAGCCTATACTAGCCTGCTAATACTTTGTGCGTAATGATCCCTTGCTCTCAGTTGCTCCATTTACCTGTACTAAGGCTGAATTCAAAGACTGGCAATGCAGATTCATAATCAGCAAACTGTGCTCTGAATGATGGGGAAGCTAAGGGCCATGAGAAAGCACCACAGCCTCTTGATTGTAGGATGCTCAACATAGGTAAACAGCAGCAAAGATTGCCCCCTTACCAAACAGTAGGAGAAGGACATGACTTCTCTAAAAGCTGCAGGACTGCTTGTTTTCCTCACTAATACCACTGGATTCTAGGTCCGTATTTGAAATTAGGCAACATCTTTGCTTAATCTTTTGTTAATGGCAATAAATAAATAGGAATATTGCAGGAGAGATAAAAAGAGGATTGCACCCTGCTTTCATGGGCATGTCCTTTTCCAACCATGTTGTGCATAATAAATATTAAGAAATGTAAGCGATGCATTGGAAAAATACTGCACATTTTGGGACCATTCAAGAAGCACCATTTTCTTGGTAAAAAAGATAAAATAAGCTTTCATGAGCCCCCAGTTACTATCTAGTCCAGGAAAGCTAAGTTTCAAGAAAAGTGGTTCTACCCTACTTTCCTACAGCAAAAGAGAAAGAATATCTTGGTGGGTAACAACAAATTAATTTTCTCAGTAAAGATCCTCAGTTAGGCTAGGGCTATTCTGGAGCTGAAGAGAAGGAATAAGTTCTTCACCCCTGATAAGCCAGTGGCATGCAGGGGCAGGGCACAAATCGGGCTGTAAGCAGGCAGCAATGGCAAGAATTTTTGAAACATGCAGAGTTTAATTCCACAAAATTGCACATCTGTTGGAAGTGTTTACACCATGAAGTTTTCCTGGGGCAAAGAGCCCTTCAGGATTAGCAAGGTTGGATGAAAGTTCTTTCCTTTTATTGCTGGCGCAGGGATTTGAGATCATATCTCTTTTTCATATTTATCCATGGCAGATTAGCCTGGGACATGAATGCCTCCACAATTTCCTTGAGATGCTAGAAAGGGTGGGAGGGAGAAATGTATCATTTCAACTATACCTCGTCCCTGTGTATTAATACTGTGTACATTAAAAATGCCCCTGGATTGAAACTGTATGCACGAGAAGTTTGCAATCACTGTTGGCTGAATTTGTCATGATTTTCCCCTTTCCACTGTAGAATTCATCTGGTTCAGGAACTGTGGTTTATTAGTTCTGCTGTGGTAAGCCAATTACTTCACAATTACCTTACACAAATACACTCATGTGTAATAGCAGTGGACAGAAATACAATACAAGCAATGCACAAGCCAATAGTGCGCCAAATAGAAATTAGATAGCCTGTAGTGCAAATTATGCATATAGCCAACTATTCTGTGACTAAGCATGTACAAACTTCCTGTCTTTCATTTCATGAAAAGAAGCAAAATTCAGAAAGAGTGAGATGCAAGGGCGAAGTTGCCTGAGATGCAGAGTAACAAAGTGATGGAAACACACATTGTGACAAGCCATCGGATTCAGTTCTCTGACTCTCAGGAGAAGCATTTTCAATATGATACTCAAGAACATGGTTGTGCCCCTTTTAATTAGCATGACAATTCCACTTTCACACAGTCAGAAGTCATTATTTGGAAAACTGCTCAGGTGAAAGCCATTCTTTGCCACATGCAATGAGAAGATTCAGCAAAGGAATGGAACTTTCCAAGGCAAAGGAAGAGCAGTACTAACTCTCAAAGAGGATCAAGCAGCAGATCTCGCCAAAATTGCAGCCCATTACAAAAGAGATACTACTGACAGTACCATTTTTTTTTAAAAAAAAAATCAGTAGGTGGCTTTGGTGCAGGACAACTAAAAATCTAAAAGATCCCACTTTGGGTTATTGAATTTTGAGATGTGGATCTCAAAACCAGGGAATTGGATACTTAATAGATAAGTTCACTGCTCACTTCATAAGCAAAGCTTATTTTCTAATCAACTTAGCTGCTCACGATAAGAGGTGCCTGTTTCCTATCTGGGGCTGTTTCCATCCAGAACCCTATGACAGCAGTCATAGTTCAAAAGGACAATGACAGATTGGAGCAAATTCAGAGGACGGCAGTCAGGATGGTAAAGGGTCTGGTAATCAAGCCCTCAGAAGAATGGTTAATGGATTTAAGGATGTTTGGCCCACAGCAAAGATGACTGAGAGGAGATATGAGAACAGCCTTCAAATAACTGAAATATTTTGACATAAAAGAGGGAATGAACTTATTTTTTATTGTCTCAGAAGTCAGAACCAGAATGATGGGTTAAAACTACAAGCAAAGCAGGTTGTAGTGGTCCTTCACTGACAAATAATCAGTGGAACCAATGGTCTAGTGAATTCACTTTTTATTTTATTGTTAGTTATTTATTTAGATTTTTTTTATCCTGCCTTTATTATTGCATAAATAATTCAAGGCAGCGAACATACAAAGTACCTTCTTCCTCCTCCTATTATCCCCACAACAACCATCCTGTGAGATGAGTTGGGCTATGAGAAAGTGACTGCCCAAAGTTACCAAGACAGCTTTCATGCCTAAAATGGGACTAGAACTCAATCTCCTGGTTGTAAGCCAGCACTTTAATCACTATACCAAACTGCCTCTCACTTTTGTTAGAGGTCTAATTTTGCACTAAAGAGAGGATCTATAAGCTCTCTTCCAATCCTAAGATTCCATGACATGTACTCAAATCAATGCAGAAATCGATGTATTCCTTGCAAGAGTGAAGAATCAATGTATTATCCTCATCAATAAATATCCTTTTTTTGTTAGAAGATACATACCAAAGTTGGATGTAATTTGTTTTTATGAGACCACTGATATATATATATTCTGAGTGAAATGCAAGTCTTCAGTTTGCACTGGGCAGGGGATGGAACCAGATGACTCTAAAATTCCTTCCCACCCTCATTCTATGATTCTTCAATTTTAGTGGCTCTCAGTATGTCTGAAATTGATGCCAAATTGTGGCTTGAGGATGGACTTTTAAATATTTCCCTTTACATCCTATTATTTTTCATAGACTCTGTAACATTTTTGAATTGTAATAGGAAGTTGTGACTTTGTGACCCTGTACATCCATAAAGTGTTGAAGCTCATGAAGGCGTGACACACAAAGCTCACAGCAATCAAGTTGAAACTTAATCAGCACATGGGGACAAAGATGTTCATCTCCTTCCCTACATATTTAACCACCGGTACTATATAAACCTCATTCCATTTTTCCATCTAGATTTTTAACCTGAGGGCAACTTCACTTTCTAGGTCTTTAGTTCATAAACATTAGGCATAACTCCAAATAGGTTTTATAATTCACAGGGTTCTTGAGATATTGTTCATCTACAGTTTTTCCATATTATTTGAGAATGCAATCCAGTTCAGCTTTCCCCAACTTTTAGTTACACCTGACTCTGTTTCTCATAGCCCCAGATTATCTGGTACATTAGAACTATTCTTTCATACATCAGAAAAATACCAGCTTAGGAAAGGCTAATATAATACTTTCCTGTAATAAAGCAACAGTCATTTTCTTGTAGAGCAATTATACATTCAGATAATGGAGTATCCACACGCAGCCAATTGACATCAGAATGTAGGAAAGAACTAGCTAAGAATCAGTCCCAGAAAACTCAAGCATAGAATAATTTTTTTGGTTTGTTTTTTAGTAATTTTTCTATAAGAATCTATACATGCGAAGGGAAATTAATCCAATTCTCTTGTCTATATCACAGATTTTTTTTAAAATAAACATATAAAATATTGTCTCTGTCTTAATAGGAAGAGTTCTGTGATAAGGAAGAACTTACAGCCTTTGTAGATGTCTGTAGGTATCTGTACAGCTGCATATGAGTAATTAACTTTGGTTTTGAAGTTATCATCTTCTGTGAATTCCAGCTTCAAGGAATTGGATTTCTCTCTTTCAATCTCTTCCCCTTCTGGGTCATCCTAGGGAAAGAAAAAAACAAACAAACAAAAAAATCAAGTCAGGAAAATAGTCATAATGCCCCAAAGATGGTATGGCAGTGAATTTTTTGCCTTTGAACAGGCCTCAAGAAAGAAATGTCTATGGAAATTCTCAATCATCCAGGTCATGGTTGTTCCAAAAGTGCTTTTTCCAAAAGGCAACTGAATTTTTTTGAGTTTTTTCCCTTTGCTTGTCATCCAAGAAACTTCTTCAATTCAGAACTGAAGAAGCTTCCTGGATGAGAAGCAAAATGATGAAAACTCCTTAATTTCACAATACATGTGAAACTGTGAGCATTCTAGACCAAGCCTTGTCTAAAAGTGCTAGAGAATTCCTGGAAGCCTGGCACTCAGACAAATTAGTCATCAACAGGCACACAGAAATAAACAACATCTACATACCATTCAAAAGAGACAATCAAAAAGCCAAAAAGAAAACAAAAAGACCAAAATACTTCCTCACCAGCAATCAACACCCAAATACTGTAAGTAGGGATTAACACCAAGATTAACATTAGACTAACAATCAAGAAGCAAACAATACTCCAATCAAGGAACTACCAACTCAGACAAACAAATTAACTACAGCCCAATAAAGGAACCACAAAGATCACTCCAACCAATGCAGGGCAAGTCACTGTTATATAGAATGAGAGCAAACCTCACTCCCTACTAGCATTGATGATGTTATCTAGTTTAGTAATGAAATATCTACAAGAAAACAACCAAGCTCAGAGAGCACTAAGGACTTCGTAATACTGATTGACTTCAGGTTAAAATCTGAAGGTGATTTAAACCTTCACACTGCTGTAAGATAATTTACTATGCTGATTTATATAGACAGAACTTTAAAATTTTGTAGCAAATTGTATGAACCTTGTAGGATTTCTTTAAAATGCATCTTTCTGTTCAGAATGAAAGCTTCTGTCTCTCATTTTATTGTTTTCTTGAAACAATCCAACAAAATGGGCACCAAATATTAGTTCAAATTGTGATCCAGGGAGGCAAGTAATGCACCCTTGCACCCTTGAAATGGAGGCATCGACCTCACAGCTCCCATTCTTAACAATTACAGTGTACCATTAGTGACAGCATTTCCTATCCAATGATCTCTCTATTCTATCAGGTGTGTGTGTGTGTGTGTGTGTGTGTGTGTGTGTTGCTAGGAAACTCAGATGTGTATATCCCTCAGCACTCCTGAATCAACTCCATGGCAACAGCTGCCTGAGAATGGCAGAGCTGCTAAGATGCTCTATCAGGCAGAGGTGGTTTACGAAGATGTCTGGGTTCCTAACTCCTGCCCAGGCTCTGTTTAACTTGCCTTTCAGTTTTCAGTTGCCTGGCAGGAGTTAAATCAGGAAAGCCCCACCCCTTGAAAATCAATTTAGCAGCAAAAGGCAACTATCAAAGAACAAATTAAAACACAGTGGAGCTTAATGCTCTGTCAATAAGCACTGCAAACAATATTTAATTAGGGCACTGAAAGGGAGAAAGAGAGAGAGATGGCAACCTTGTCTGCTGCTGAGGCTGGAAAAGGGCTACTGTACTTTCTCTCTCCCTGAGAGATCTCTCTGAAAGCAGCCTTGTTTAACTCAGAAAACATTTGTTTCTTTTGGAATATCAGAACTGAGAAACCTTCATCCTGTTGGTTGAAGAGCATTTAATCCATTTGCTTGGACGATATCTTGCAGGTCAAAAAAAAAAAAAAAGTGTGTGGGGAAAAGTATTCAAAAAAACCAGGGATAGCAAGACCAAACCCTCTTTCTTTGCTAGCATTTTATTAACAGGAAATACACAGCAAAGCAGTTGAAACTAAGTGGTAAGAAACAGCACAATGAAATGAATTAACCCAACCCCTGCTTTTGTTTAAAAATTATTAAAAAGATTAGAACATTAATAGCCACCATATATGTCAGGCCTTAGACCAGGGGTGTCAAACTGCACGTCACGTGGAAGCTGCGCCCACCCCATTACCAGCAATGGCAAAACCGGCCCGATACATTGGACAACGTCATGTGACATTGTGAGTTTGCCATGCCTGCCTTAGACCAAAGATGATACTATGAATTCCAATGGAACCATTTTTTTTGCTTACACCTAATAGATAGAATCTTGCCAGATAAAGCTATAATCTTTCAACCTAGCAGATATATCCTGAGAGAATCTAGGCTGTACCAATAGCTATCCTGCACCTTTCCCCCCTCCCCCATCCAGTTAGGATTGTACAGTTTCTTAATTTGGGCTTCTCCTCGGAATGTACTGCCTGCTCCCTGGAAATTGAAATTGTGATCCAAATGCTCTTTACAGAAATGGTCTGAATTCAGCGATGTTCTTGATCATCTTTGAGAAAGAGAGATTGTGAAGAAAGCAAGAGAACACAAGAAATTGAGATAGCAACTTTGGAGATGTGCTTGGTTTCTGTCAAGTTTCTGCTTTCTATCAGTTCTTCTTACCATAAGAAATCTTAAAATGTATGTTCCCAACATGAGCAGCTTTGTTTCACTATAGTTAATTTCTTTTGAGATCCTTTTAGATTGTGGACTTCTTTATAATCTACAACGGGTGCTTGTTTTGACCTAGGGTAGTGGTGGCGAACCTATGGCACGGGTGCCAGAGGTGGCACTCAGAGCCCTCTCTGTGGGCACGCACGCTGTCACCCAAGTCCTAGGCCTTCAGCTGGGTTTTATAAAACCTTTTCGCTTTAGGATCCGCCGCCATGTGCAAAAAAAAAAAAAAAAGGTTCAATCAGTCAATTTCAACTTCTCGCGGGGAAAAAAAAAAGATCTTGCAAAATTAGAATTGATTGATTGAACTTTTTAGTCTTACCCAATCTGCCATTACCACCGCAGCTACGCCCACCCAAGGGGCCACGTCCACCCAATTGGCCACACCCACTCGACACTCGATGATGCATAACTGGGTTTTGGGTTGCAGCTTGGGTACTCAGTCTCTAAAAGGTTCGGCATCACTGACCTAGGGTTATGTTGTTTGTTCTGAAAATACATAGCAGAAGGCTTTTATCCATGATATTGAAGATGGAGTATATTTCAAAACTGTTAATAGTTATAATCTCCTTAGTGAAATAACTCTTTTTGATAAAAAAATAAGAAAAAGAAAATAACAGTATTGACAAGTGATATTATAGATAATACAGGTAAAATTTAAATTACTTTGTATGTATAACAACAAGACTTTGACAAAGTAACTAAAATTGTAAGTCCTAGGGAAAATAAAACAATGAACTGCAGTTGATATGAATTTCTTTGGGGAAATTCTTAATTTTGCATAGGCATTTCTTAATAAAACAGCTGCAAGATTGAATCTCACCCAGGGGCTCTCATTTCATTTCACAGTATAACAACGAAGTAATGAAACACCAATGAACCTTTTTTTATATGTTTTATTAATTTTTTAAAATTACAATCTTTAGAGCAGCGGTTCTCAACCTGTGGGTCGCGACCCCATTTGGGGTTGAACGACCATTTCACGGGGGTCGCCAAACAACACAGTCCGCCATTTTTTCCCCTTTTCCTTAGCTGTGCTACTCCCTTTTATTTTATTGGCTTTTGAAAGCCAATAGAATAGATTCTCTTGAATAGAGTCTAATTCTATTGGCTTTCAAAAGCCAATAGGAATTGTCCAGGCTGTTTCTGCACTGCTGAGCCCACCAAAAGTCCCATTCTGCAAACAGTGCTACAAGTTGTCTGCAGCGAAGGCGAGCTGTCTGGAAGTTTCCACCTCTCCCTGCTGAGCAACTACTAAAAATGTAAGTAAAAGAGGGCCAGGGGTGGGAGGTGGGAGGCCGGTGGGTGCAGGGAGGGTTGCTGGCGCGCATGGGGCCCGGCGAGTGCCTTACCTCCCTTGGACTGGGCCAGCTGGTGGCCCAGCTGGTGGTTGGCCTGCGCCGTGTCTGCCGCTTGCCAGCTACGCCTCGGCCGGCACAGGGGGTGGCACCATGCATGCCTGGTGCTCCCGGGCAGGGAAAATCCTCGACTTACGACTGGTTGGGTAGTCTTCGACTTATGACCGGTTGGGTAGTCCTCGACTTACGACCGGTTGGGGGTTGCAGCATTAAAAAGGTTGAGAACCACTGCTTTAGAGCTTAGTAAACAACATGTTGTCTGGGTTCACATATTTAACATTAGCTTCTTCAATATAAATCTATTCAGTACTGCACAATCCAGTATTTTTCCTTGATCTTCCTTTGTTCCCTATATTTTTTCCCTTTCCCCCTCATTAAACAATTACAATTCTGAGTACTATAGATGTATACAAAATTAGATATAGACATCATCATATTTTACTAATATTATAAAAATAGCAATAATATCAATTCATAAGTCAATATCCAGTTTTCCGTGCTCTTATTAAAGTTTGATTTCCCATCAATATTTAAAGTATCTTTGTCAGTTATGATTTTCTCAATATTAATTACATTTATATAGCTAAAAAATTTATTCATACTAATTCTCCTCAAAAGAAGAAAAAAATGCTATTTTAATTCTAAATCATATCTTCCATTATAAAAATCTAGTTATATCTAAGAGTCATCCGTTCTTTTAATCATATTCAACAGATATATTAAACAGATAATGCCCCCTCTGATAGATCAAATCCTCTGTTTTTTAAGTCTGACTCTCACTTTCTTTCTTTGCCAAGCAGATTTCCAGGCCAAGGCAATTAAATCGCCCAAGAATTTTCTTTCTATTTTTGTGAAAGATGCTTGGCATGAGAAAGACAATTTAGGTAGAGTATTTTTGGGGAGGAACTCTGCTCATCCACATTCCCTAGACATTTCCCCTGCCTGCTCTATGTTCCATTTTCTAGAATCTTCTTCCTTGCCATCAGGTGTATTTTGGAGAAAGAGTAAAAGGATCGTTTGTATTTTCATTGTTATAGGTAGGTCTTGCAGTATTTCATTTGTGTATGACAGTCCATATTTCCCTTCTCCTATTTCCTCCATCTCTAGGTCCATTTCTTCT